CTGGCCCCAGGGAAGCAGACTATGAGCAATTACTGCAGAGCTAGTTGCTTTGCAGTAGAGCAATAAGACAATGCCTGCGTGAGCAGTAGGAAACCTATTGCAGTGCTAGCTGCTTCTCAGTAGGACAGTAGGTTGGAGCTCTGCAGACAAGACACTGCTACAGACAGGCTGCCATAAAGACCAGTTAGTTAGCCTAATTAGAGGGCAACTGTGGCTAGACTTGCAGCCTAGGGCCAGACATTCAAAAAGCCTGAGTCTGAATTGATTCAATCTTTGCAGGTTAGTCTAACCTGGCTAGGCTGAATCAGTTTGTAACAGTACAAACATGCCAGACATGCAGGCATATGCCAGCAGTGGCTCAGGCTAGAAGCTGGGGGGCACAAGAGCAGCCCTCCCTTCCCTTCCACAACCCTGAGGTGAGGGGGTGTGGTCAGGCTCCAGCAGGAGCTCTGATTAGCCCAGCAGAGAATTGATAACAGTGTTTATCACCCAAGTACCAAAACAACAGAAGGACATTACTATCTACTTGTTGATTCTGCCTGCCAGCACACCTTAGCCAGAATGTGGTCTGCTACCTAATACACAGACACCTCCTCAGCACGGCACAGGGGAGGTGGGAATACCTGTTTACAGGGAATGTTGATGGGGTGGGTGGGGAGCAGCCTGCAGTCTCTGGAGCTCCAGCCAGGGAGCAGAGGGGCAGAACCAGTTGGAGCAGAGAGCCCCACCCAGCCCAGAGAGCATGCCAAGATGCTGGGGGAGTCTGGTTTATCTCAAACCAGCAAGGGGTCTGGGACAGACATTGCATAAACTGGTTTGAGCCAAATCAGCTAAGTCTAATGCTACATTCAACCAGGTTTATCTCCAACTGGTTTCAGCCATTTTCAACCTGGTTTATGTGCACCAAACTTCTGTTCTGTTACAGGTTTAAACTGGTTTCTGATCACTTAAACCGGTTTATGTGTAATGTCTGTCCCTAGCTGTGGAGTCACCTGACCGGAAAGTGGCAAGGCCTGGGAGAGAGAAGCTGGGGTCAGAGACAGGGCAGTCAGTCTGGCCCTGAAGGCTGAGGAGGGAGCAGCTATGAAATGAGATGCTTGTTGCTGGTTGATGGACTGTGAGTGCACTAGTAATTTATACGCATACTTTTTTCCCCTGATTAATTGAGTCTTCTCTGCACATGAGCTGCGGTGAGGTGAAGTGAGGTGAGCTACAGTGCACTGCAATGCACTGCACTGTGTGCAGTTGTATAAGCAGCGAAATGCACATCAGCGTGCAGAAAATGGCACCTACAAGGTGCTTTAGTTCAAAAGCACGCAGCTGCAGCTTTCTCAGCACTGAATCACATTTAACTGCTTATACAACTGCAAGAATTGCAGCACCGGATTGTTTTCAAAGCACCTGGTGCTGTGGCACTTGCAAATTTAAAAATGCCCACTATGCCTGGAAACAGAAGTGAAGGGCTGAGGACTAGCAGCACACTAAGGCCCAAGGCTGGGTAGGAGCTGGTATATAGCCAGGAGGCTAAAGGTTTAGTTATAGCTGGAGAGCTTGTTTTTGGCTTTACTTTTAACTGATGGTTTGGGTTTGGGCCTGCCATTCCATTGTCCTCTTTACTGATCCCAGTTTTCATCTCCATCGCTGGATGCTTGTTTGTAGGCAGAGGTTCCAACAGTGCCTGAGGACCCAAGAGTATCTTGAGCCCTGCTGAAGACCAGGGTCTCAAGAGATAGGGCAGGCTAGGGCAGGGAATTGAAGCTTGAAGCAAGTGGCTGAAGCCTAGCAAATGTGGAAGCCAGACTGGACATGGGGGCCCTGCCACGCAGGAGGGGCAGGAACTAGGGCTGGGGGCCCTGCTGCCCAGTGGCCCAGAGATACTAAATATCAACAGGGCTGTGGCTGAGATAGTTGGACCTCAATCCAGGGACTGGGGCTGGAGGCTTATATCTAGAGACAAGGGGGAAGAGGCTGAGAGGGCTGAGCCCACAAGGGATCAAGAAAGGGAGGGAACCCTAGTGCTGGAGCAGGCTAAGGGTTGCATGGTCACCAGGGGGTGTCATGGCTGCCTCTGGAACCCAAACTTTGCTACATCATCCTGCAGAACACTTCTGGCTGGTCCATGGAATAGCTTCTCTTCAGTATTCACTAAGTGATTCTGTAGCTATCTATAGCCAAGGTTTAAGATTTTTGTAGCATTTTAAACAGAATATAAAATACATACAGATGAAAAGAGACTCAAACATCTCTTTGCAATAAGAAAAATCCTTTTATGGGTCTCATTGTGTGTTGTTTCTCTTTGGTACCTACTGAAGACTCATCGCATTTGTGAATGATATTGAAATGGTCAATGAAAAAACAGCGAAGAGCTAAACAAAATTGGAAAAAGGGGCCTATACAATGACAAGAGAATAGGTAGAGCAGAACATTACACCAAGAGATTAGGTAAAGCAGTAAATGACATAGATTAAAAAAAAACTTAATGGAAATAACCCTATTCACAATGTTAAAAAGAGTTTGTTTTCACCTATCACCCTAATGCTTTTCCAGTACTTCTTGTGGCAGGTGTGGAGTGTTACTCATTATTATAAGCACAAGGTGCAAACAATGACAGAATGCTGAGGGAGCTGATTCTGTATTAATGACAGCATATGCTCAGCCTCTGAATTTCTCAGCACGAAGATGACTAGAATGAGGAAGATTCAGCATGGAAGTAATGAATTTAGCTAAGGATTAATTTTATGTTACATTTCCTCAGAAACATCCATTTTCCATCTATCTGCTGTTCCTTTCCTTCCCCACATTCTGAAACTGTCTTATCATTTTTTGCTCATAGTTTTTAAACTTTTTAGGCTCTATTTCTTCACCCATCCCCTGCCATCCCCCTGGAAGTGGAAGGAATGCAGCACCTGAACCTAGCATATTCATACATTCCTCATCTGGTTGTTTATCCTAGTTTTCAAGTTCATTATCATTAAATACCTAAATATGTGTAAGATGATCAATTACCTTCTACAGGACAATTCCTTTGTGCTTCATGGGACAGGGGTACAATGGGTTGACACAGGGGCTAGGAGAACTTTCAAATGTTAAACAATAGATGAAATTTGCTGGCTGAGATTATAATGCAGTTCATTCATATTTCAGAAAAGTTTAATAATGTCTGTATTTTATTGGCTCAATATACAGCAATTGGTGGATGAAGTAGAAAAGCCTTTTTCTTCAAAGCCCTATTGAATTCCCATAGCTTTATTATCTACTCATTAGAGTTATTGCTAGATTTTAAATTTAATGGAAAATGGTTATTTATTAGTTCTTTAGTTTTAACCTTCACGTCTCTTTTATTAAATCCATTTTATTAAGATTTAGAAACCTCCCACAAGCATTTGACAGTATTCTTCTGAATGATTTAGATTCAGACCTACTCGTGCACAGTTAAAAATGATATTGTAGCCTGAAATAATTTTATGGTTTAGGTGTAACAGTAAAAGCTGGGATTATACTTCTGCAGTGCTTAAGAAACATGTAATAATCTGTGCATTACTGTGCACAAAATGTTCACAGCCTTTTGTCTGTGCAAATATTTCATTAATGAAAACTAGTTTAATTCTAAACTTCAGAATGTCTGTGGTATGTAGGATTAATGAAATCAGGTAAGACATCAGCAAAAGTGTTCACGTCAAGTCAGCTTGCTGAGGATGTTGGGCTAATGAGGTTGCAAACACTCATACTGGTCTGCAGGATGCTGAAACTGGAGGCAGGAACATGCTGAGTATATCCCTAGGGTTACTTCTTAACATCTTATATACTTAACCCTTTCTTTACTAGTAATATTAATAACTCTGGGAAAAAAAGCATGGATGTCTGTATACAGTATAATAATTGTGTTGTATAATGGTTTGCCATAAATGCTATACCATATTTCTTGCATACAACACATGCCAGAATAAGATACAAACTTTGTTTCTGAAAAGCAGGGCAAAGAGAAAAGGATCTTTCCTTGCAATAAGCTGAGCAGCAGCAACTAGGGAACCAAGCCATCTCAGGCTTTTTACAAACATTCAGTTTCTCTTGGAAGAGTTGCTGCTGTCCCAGAAAAAAACCCATGAGCGTACAGTTGTTCAGGATTTTTCTCCCAAAATAAAAATAACCGCTCCAGAGATAAAAAAGATATGGGAACAATGAAGGTTAAATCACTGACAGGAGATGTTTCTTTTGGCGGACTGAATATCTCCCAAAAGTACATGTTGTGGCTTCTCTGGCTGTGTCTACACAAGACTCTGACTGCACAGTCATCACAGTATAAAGTGTATACAGTTTTGTGACTGTATAAATCATTTAGCATTTGTACTAAATGACTACACAGTAACTGGAGTTAAGATGCAATCAACCTGAGGAATGGCTTTTTCATGACACTGACTGCACAGTAGCTCATGATTACTGCACAGTAGTGTTGCATCATGCTTCCTGCCACATGATGCTACTGTGCAGTGCTCGTGGGCTACTGTGCAGTGTCTCACGTAGGCATGGCCCCCCTCAGAAAAAAACATGGCCCCCCAGGATCCCTCTTCCCTCCCAGGGAGACAGTGTGTCCAGCAGGGAGCAGAACGTGTCCCCTTCACTCTCCACATTGTCCTGCAGGGAAACACAGGCCAGGGACAGACATTCAAAAAGCCTGAGCCTGAATTGATTCAATCTTTGCAGGTTAGTCTAACCTGGCTAGGCTAAATCAGTTTTGTAACCGGACAGAAATCCCAGAAGTGCAGGCACATGCCTGCAGTGGCTCAGGCTACAAGCCGGGAGGCACTAAAGCATCCCTCCCTTCCTGCCACAGCACTGAGCTGAGGGGGGTAAGGTCAGGCCCTGGTACTCTGATTAGCCCAGCAGGGAATTGATAACATAGTGTTTATCACTCCTAACTCAATGTTTATCACCCCATTAACAAAACAGCAGAGGGACATTAACAGCTTCCTGTTAATTCTGCCTGTTGATTCAGCAGGGACCATAGCCAGCATGTGGTCTACTAGCTAATACACAGACACCTCCTCAGCAAGTCAGAGGGGAGGGCAGAATTCTTGCTTAGCAGGGAGTGGTGAGGGGGAGAGGGGAACAGCCTGCAGTCTTGTTGAAGCTGCAGCCAGGAAGCAGAAGGGAGGGGCCAGCCCTGCTGTGGAGCAGAGAGCCTCGTGCAGCCTAGAGAGCATGCTGGGATGCTGGGGGAGTCTCATTTATCTTAAACCAGCAAGGGGTCTGGGACAGACATTGCATAAGTGCATAAACCGGTTTGATCCAAATTAGTTAAGTCTGATACGATATTCAACCAGGCTTATCTCAAACTGGTTTCAGCCATTTTCAAACTGGTTTATATGCACTAAATATCTGTTCTGTCACAGGTTTAAACCAGTTTCTGATCACTTAAACTGATTTATGTGTAATGTCTGTCCCTAGCCAGGATGACCATGAGTCTGTGTAATTCTGCTATCTGTCACCAGGCAGATTAATGGAGCCTGCAGAGCATGCTAAGATATGTGCACAGGGGACCCTCCTGGCTGTACAGTGTCAACACTACAAGCTCTCAACTCTTTAGGGCCTCATCAATTGAATGTCTGTACATGTAGCTCTGGGTAATTTTTTTTTTACCAGGAAAACAAATCTAGGAGAATTCTCCCAGTGTATTTAAATATGTCTATACAGCCTCACTGTTCTGTGTTCTGTGGAACCATGCAGAATTTCACTTTCCCCTTACCATATTTCTTGCATTTACTGTATACCTGTATTTCCAGTAGCTGCTTTGCATGGGGTGGGGAGGAGGTGTTGTATGCAAAAATTATGGGAAATATATTAAGCTCAGTGTTCAGTGCAAAATAAGACATAAAGGATATGTGCCTATATTTTAGTTTCCGGTATCAAAAGGATATTTCACAGTCATAAAAATTACTAGGTTTATAATAATAGATTTTTGAATAAACATCAACATATTTCAGAAAACCATCAGCATGATTAATACTGACTAATGGCAGAAATGATTGACTGGGTTCCTCAATGCTCAATTATTGGAGTTTGGGTCCTAAGAGAAGAATGTTTTTATATGTTGCCTATAATATTTCAAAAGTAAGCGTAAAATATTAATTTCAAATATGGTGACTTTTTAAAAACAAATAAATGGGAGAAAGACAGATTCAGAAAAAAAGCCTACAGAATTACGTATTTCCTTTTTTTTTCCTTTTTTCAGGTCAGAACTGTGGTGGTTTAGTACAGGGGCCAAATGGTACTATTGAAAGTCCTGGATTTCCTCATGGCTATCCAAATTATGCCAACTGCACATGGATCATTATTACAGGAGAACGTAACAGGATACAATTGTCATTTCACACATTTGCTCTTGAGGAAGATTTTGATATTTTGTCAATTTATGATGGACAGCCACAACAAGGCAATTTAAAAGTGAGGTAAAGTACTCTTTCTTTTCTTTTTTTAAAAGTTTACTGTATACAAGGACTTACCTTTCTGATATCATGTTCGATGGGATTTTTCGTCCATTTCCAAGGAAATCAAAAAACTATTGGCCAGGTAAACATTTTCAAAGCAATGTGTAACCACAGCTTGTGTAAAATCTGAAATAGATTCAGGATTTTCCTGGAATGTAAATATTCCTTTGTCCAATAAATGGAATTTGGAACTGAATCCAATAAAAGGCTTAGGCACCTCTTTATTGTGTGCTCTAATACCTAGCTTTTAAGTGTCTGGTGTCCAAAATAGATGCCGAAACCTGGGGTGAAGCTCTTACACTGCCTGTGGACTTTGAGAGCTTAAGGCAATTCAGAATAGGATCCAAAACAGCAAGCATTGTGGGCAGGAAATGATCTCATGGCAGCACACTTAGTGTATAACTGCCAAGAAGAAGTCAAAGGAGAAATGCTGAGGACAGGGGTCAGTCTTTGCTTCACATAGACACATAGACAAGTCCTATTCCATCTATATAGTATATGCCTGAGTTCCTGAGAAACTGTTAATGCAAAAGGCGGATTAATTCCTGATCCTTACTTAAAAAAATTAATTTTAGGCTAGGATAACAGTGGGTTACAGAAATAATATTGCAAGGACTTGAACAGAGCAGAATATGATCCCGTTTAGGCATCTAAGTTCTAGTTAGATGCCTAATTGATTGAATACAATTTGGCCCACTCAGTCCTATTTTATATGACTAAGTACTTTATTGGATCTGGCTTTCAGTGCTTTCAGTTTAACTTTGTTATTACAGAACATTAATATCTTGTACTGTTTTGCTATTTTCTTTTCAAACACAGGATTTGCTGAATACTGAAAAACAATGTTGTTGATTCAATATCTACATCCTTTATGTGTTGTGGAGTTGTGTTATATAGCTAAACAAATATAGAAAGGTGATGTATATGTTCTGAGATGTAGTGAGTCTCACTGTGTAGGCCCAGGAAGTGCTACATGTGTGCAGGAAGTGCTACATGTGCAATGTGTGCATTTTTCAGTATAACAAATGTTTGCTTGTGGTATTGGTTAGGTTATTACCTTGAAAGGAGGTTCCTTTTGCATCAAATACTTTTAGTAATAATACCTAAAGGGTTTGGTTTTTTTCACTGAGGTCCATACATCTCTTGGAAGAAGGTTCATTAGAGAGAGACTAGTCTAAGCATAAATATAGGCCCATGAATAGCAGATATCAGCTCCTGGAGTATAATCCTGCCCATTTGAATCAATGGAAGTTTGGCCATTCACTTCAATAGAGTGAGGAGATCACTGCTGAAGTGTAATATTGGCACAAATATTTCACTTATTCTGTCCTTAGAAAAGTCATTTGACTTCTCTGTCCCTGAATTTTCCTAGCTATGCTATACGAATGATCCTGGTACATGAAGTTACTGCATAGGTGCATTGAATAACTTGCTTAGTGTCTTTAAAGAGTTTTGAAAGTGAAAAATGAGATTTGAATAATATATTTCTGTTGGTATGTTTTATGTACTGTAACTTTTAGTTTGGCCTTTGCATTGAACACAGGGTACTATAGGATTGTTACAATTACACATTTCATGGCAAATCATTCAGCAGATATTAGCAAACATTTTTTTATAATGTTAGTGTGAAACAGAAAATTGGTCTCTTTATTTGAGAATATATATATTGATGTTTTTGCATAGACCTGTAGATGGAAAATACAATAGTAGACTTTGGATAATTAAAATTCATTAATCATCATACAGAAACTGGAGGCATTTTTCAATAACAGACATGAAAGTATATAACACTTTCAAATGATCCAATATTCACACCATTTTACATATTAAATCTATTCTGCTACCTCATATTTGTTTGGTTGCCATAGCAAAACTGCATAGAATAGAAACAACACAATCATTCTGTACATTGATAGCAAGGTGTGATACTATTGATTAATGGACTATAGATTAGTATAGATAGTGTGTAGTGGCAAAACCTGTTTTATTATTAGCAACTTCTACAGTTCAGATAAAACACCCATGTTAATCTTGCCTCACTATATAAAAGCAGAACTGATGTGTGTGGCCACAGCAACTTGGACTTAATAGACTTATATTTATGTACTATAGAGATGAATTTGGTACCATTAATACCAAGTACCTTAGCACACTTGCTACCTCACCTCTAAATTAGGAGCTTGGAATCTGCCATTATCAAAATTAGAACATATAGTACAATGGCCCGAAGTACTACGTGCAATGGCATTGCTTTAGGGTTCTTTGTAGAATACTGTAATCGTCTTTGCATAAAGATAAGAAGTTGGAATGTTAATTCCATTGTTAAAATATAACTAAAACAGATTTCTCTGTTCTATACTGTTGAAGAAAACCCTTCTAGTTAAACATCAATATTTCATTATCAATTGATAAGAGAGCTTCAACACAACAAAATTTTAATTAAGCTGGGGAAAAAAACATAAATATATTATTTGCTTCCATTTTACATCTTTGAACAGTTGTTCATTTGTTATATGCAATTAAGTAACAGCACTTACAGCAATACTGAAATTCAAATGGATGCTGCTCTTGTGGAGGATTCATACAACCAGTCACTGGTGCATTGAGTCATCAGGAAAGTTTATTACTTTTAGTTATCTTTCTATTGTTGATTTATTGCTACACTAAAGAAGAGTTGCTTTTGATTGCTCAGAGTATCGTAAATTAGGTACTAGCTGGAATATTTATTGGTGTTTCTTCTTTTGCACAAACACTATATGGCAATAGTGAAAAGTAGCTTTTAAAATGGAAATAAGAAATATCAAAAGGGACATGTAGAAATGGGATAAGTTTCAACTATGAAGAGAATTCAACTGATAATATTCACCTACAAACTTGTACAACATGCAACTATTTTCTTGTTGATGAAGAAAGTAATTAGTCATTTTCAGGGTCAGGTCAATGAGGAGAGGGTAGTGTTACAGTTGCATCCCCTTTGATTCCTGTTCCACCCAAAGTTTAAAACCAACTGCCTTGCAATTAAGGATGTGGATGGTTAAATGATTAATCATTTAACTGATGATAACTTGTGATAACTGGTTATAGCTTACCTTTTATGCGGGGTCAATCTGGCAGGGAAAGGGGGAAAAGGAAGTCACATGGTGCCCAACAGGAACCAGCAGGTAGAAGGTCTGGTGGGAGAAAATGGGGGGACAGGGACTAGTCAAAAAGAAGCCCCACCTGTCTATTCCAATATGTAGATCTGCTCCACTCCCTCCACCCTGTACTGCTGGAGCCAGTCCCAGGCAGCTGTGCAGCAGAAGCTACAGTGGGCTGAGAAAGTCCCTCACCAGATGCTGCCACCCACAGCTTCATGTGGGCTGTGGTGATTGCCACTGCCTCCCCTCTGCCTCCATGCTGCTACAGCCATTCCCAACATGTGGGAGCCAGCCCACCTCCCTCCGGCCCTTTCCAGCACAGTTGGAGGTGGAAGCACAGTGAAGCTATAACTACTCTAGTTTGCCTGTCCCAATGGTTAACCATATTCTAGTCAGAAAGTTCTCCCTAATCTATATATCCTCTGTTGCAGTGTGAAGCCTTTGCTCCTAGTCCTATCCCCTACATCCATAAAGAAATGTCTGTCTCCATTGTCTTTATGGTCATCCTTCAGGTATTTGAAGACTTTTCAAATCCCCCTTCAGTTTCTCTTCTCCAGACTAAATAACTCTGGGCATTTATACATGTGCTGTGGGAGAGGGGTAGGGCGTAGCGCTACTCTAGGATGCTCCAGGTGCTTTAATTAGAGCGGTTCCAAGAGATGCTCTAACTAAAGAGCCCAGAGCATCTTGTGTATCAGTGTCCTGGGGCTTGAAAATGGCGGCAGGGCATTTTAACTATCGGTCATTCGGGCATTTTAACTATCAGTTTAAGCACCCCTGCCACCATTTTTAAGCACTGGGATGCTGATACACAAGATCTTGGAGTCTGCTGGAGTGTGACAGTTGCCACTCACCAGCAGTCTCCATTAATTGAGCCTGCTCCAACATGCTATAGTTACAGCACATAGGAGCAGCCTCACTGCTCATATATAGGCACCCTCTTGTTCTTTCAGCCTTTCCTTGTAGGTCACGCTTGCCAGGCTTTTGTAGATAAAAATGGCATGAAAATTGTTCTTCACTGGACTCTTTCCAACCTGTCCACCTCTTTCATGAACTGTGGGGCCCACAACTGGATACAGTGCTCCAGGAAAAGCCTCACTGTGCTGAATAGAGAGGAGGAATCATTTCCCTTGATTTTTCAAGACACTCCTATTAATTCAACCCAGGCTTTTTTGATGACAGGTTTTTTGTTTTTTTTTTTAGTGGGAGGATTCAGGTATTCATGTAGATGGATATGCATTTCATTTAGTACCTTTTTTGTGAAATAATGTATGCAGTCCTTTTACTAAGAACAAAGCATTCTTACAAAAAATATAGATCATATTAATTACATGTCTGAAGTTGAGATTGGAGGATAATCAACTATGAATGAATATAATTACATTGCCCCCCAAACTGTGAAATATTGTTTGAACTGTAAAATTAATAATAATAAAAAAAATAAACCTCCTTTGCATTAAGGAAACTTAATTCCTTGGAAAGGAATTGCAATTATTTCTGGATAAATCAAAATGGTGTATGCAATTACAAAGCAGAATTTTTTATCAGTTTCTTAAAGCTTTTGTAAATGTAGATGTTGAAGTCAGCAAAAGCTTGATTACCTTCCTATTGGATGTTTTATTCATTTATCAAAGCCTGCGCCATTCTATTTGATAATGCTGTACTGATGAAGGGTAAGGATCACAGTCTCATGCTCAGAGAAACTCCTGATTCAGTATGTGGCCTTTTAACTGAACTAAAAAAAAATGCCTGTGGGACTGTGTCACTAAATTCTGTTATTTAAATTAGTGTTTAATAACAAGTAAAGTTAAAGCTATATTCTAC